CTTTGTTTTGGTTTCATGACATCAGTGGCCTACTCCTGGCTCGCGTGGCCCTTCTGATGTTGTATCAGGTATTATACCAGTGCCGGCTGGCAGAGATGGGGGGAGAGAGGCTTGGGTGCCTGCTGGAGGAGAGCGCTGAGCCACAGAGGAGAGGCCTGAAGTCGCTGGAGGTAGGGGTGTCTCTGGGGAGAGTACAGAAAAAGGCTTTTGCCAGTTGTTTTGTCAAATAGCGTTCCCTGGAGCAAAGGGCAGGATGTCATCGTCACGGAGCATGGGGGGTGAGGTGTGGCGCCTGGTACTGTACTCGGGGTCAGCCAGGGAGGTTGCTGGCCTTGGAAATAGTGCGGGTCGTTAATTGTATTTATTTTAGTTCTTTGCTGCATTGTAAAATGTGAAGGGCATTAAATTGTTTGAGTGTATAACTTATTCTTACCTGCCACCTTACACTTAGTGCGTTAGATTTACCGAGCTCTTGTCGTAATACATCTCAGTAAGGTCTAACATAAGAATGTGTCTGCAATCGTGGCTTCAGGAACACAAAACAACTCTGTTTTCAGACATTTCATCAAATTCCATATTTAGAAGAAAGATGTAGTTCCGCTTTGCAGGCTACAGCATCATAAAGAAGTTTAACCTATTTCTGTAGTCGCTGTGTTCAAGGCTGTTTTTCTCTATTTTCAGAGGTGTTGTCAAAGTCGACATCAATCTGCAGAAGGTGGACATTGACCAGTGTTCGAGTGAGGGGTGGTTCTCGGGGACGCACAGGTGTCATCTCAACAGTTCCGAGGTATGTCTGTCCTTAAGGGACTGAGCTACGCTTCAATAACAGGTCTTTCAGCTATGAATAATTTTCTGTAGTATAAATGCTATCTATTTTATAGACTTTAAATGTGGTTTGTAGGCTGAAAAAGTCTTTCTGCGCAAGGCGTTACAGTATGCGAGTTTCAGGAGTGCCTGCATTTCAGGAATAGAGGCGTTAAATAAAACAGAAGCTAAGTTATTGTGCAGAAATAACTGCTATAGGGAAAAAGAATATTACCAGTGAAATGATTTTTATGAAGTTCTGCTTGCAAGTCAAACAGTTATTTTACACTCAAAATAGGCTTCTAATGTCAGTGTCACTTTTGACTGGACGGCCTTGCAAAATACAGTAGAAGTAGCTCAAATGCTAATAATAATTATTCAGAAAAACATGGGCTTTTGGTAGAATGATACAGAATAACAGGCAGAATTGGATGCTGTAAGTCTTTCTTAATAGAAATGCCAACATTTTGACAGAGCTGACTAAATGTTTCTGTTCAGCTCCTTCCTGCTTCCCCTTTCTTCTGAAGGTCTGTGTCTGGCTCTGTCTGTCAGCGTATCATAGATCGTTCAGCCTGGCCAGTCATATGTGTTCAATGAAACGTTAAAACAAAATACATTCAATGATTTTTCTTTTTATTGTGGCATATGATGTTGTTTTCAAAGGCACCCATTTGTTTTCTCTGAGAGTAGGCACCTTATGCACTTCTGTGCTTTCAGAAAGGACAATTAAAATGTAGGGCGAGTTGATGGTTGTCTACCAGAAGTCAGGACATGTTTGCCTAATTTGTTACAAAATGCCAATTTATCAAAGCCAAATCTAAATTTAGGAAAAGAGAGTTGGTTTTGATGAATACATCTACTAATGTTTTCGAGCAAGGAAAACTAAGAATTTTTGTAAACATCCTTTTTGGTATTTTTCACTTGAATTTTCTTTTTCTTAAAATAAACTTGATATGAGAAATCAAGTAGTCTTTGATAAAGACTAATTTTAAATGAAATATTTCTGCAAATAAAAAAAAAAGAATTCTTTTTTTGTCAAATACTTTTTGACTTCTGAATTCAAGGGAACACTTTTTAAATCTCATGTTTCTTCCTAGAAGAAAATACTGTTTCCCATGAGATCCGGTAAAACTTGTTTTTTAATATATGCTATTTATCCTGAATGTGATTATACATTTTGGCAAGTGCTCCTCCTTTTCCTAGTGTCTTATGAGCAAAATTGTCAGCAGAGGGGTGGGATTGTAAGTTGCATCTCTTCCTGCAACCAAGAAGAAAAGGAAAAAAACCCCAAACCTATGAGAAGACTAAGAAAAACTAAGGCAAAAGTAAAATAGAGAAAATGAAGAAAGGTCAATGGTGGGCTTTAACGCACCTTTAGTCTTGTTCAAAGCCCATTGTTTGCTGTAATGGGCTCTGAATCACGCTCTGTACTCTTAATATATAGCAAAACAGAATCTGAGTCAAACTGAACTGAATATAATTCCACAATTACACTTCCCTTCCAAATCTAAGTCCTTAAGAGTGTGTCCTGGAGAGAACACACAAAAAGCTACTCTCTCTGGAAGAATTTGTTGGAGAAGGGGGGGAAATAAAAGTTTTGGGTTTTTTTCCACTCTTCACAATTCATTTTCATGGGCGTAAAAAGTAGTTTTTATTTCTCTGTAGAATTCACTCTGATTATGAAAAGGGGTTTTCTTAATGAATATGACATTCAGTAAGATCTACCTTCCATTTTATTATTGCACATGAGGCAAGCAGAGTGTCATTTAGAAAACTGAGTGCAGAATGAAATTCTGCATGAAAGACAACCTTAGGGGTTACAGAAAGGTGTTTTTTTTTTTTTATGACTTACAAAAAACATTTTAATTCCAGTCTTAGTATCTCAGTGGGCAAGCTGGAAATCTCACCTCTATGATTTGGTCTCTTACTGTGCATGAGAAACTGAGGTGACTGTCATGGACCATTGATGCAGAGATGGTGTCTCCACCAGCTTTGAGCCAGGACTGGGTTCTTAGCATTCTGGGCTTCACGCTCCTGCTGAGAGGGTGGTGGGTGTTTCCTATCTGCTGAAGGAAAGAATAACATTTCTTTTACTTAAAATGTACATTACAGATCAGTTTTTCATGTTGGGATTCTGGGCTGTGTTGTTGTAAAGCTGGCTGTGCTCAAGTAAGTTTCTTTGCAGAGCTTTTTTTTTACCAGACTCACTCACACTGTTTCTACTTCTTTTTTTTTTTTTTTCCCCTGTCCCTGTTTATTCTGCATAGTGTTTTCCTTGTTCTTCAGAGCTAACAAAGACTGCTCTACATAGTTTACAATCTTTTTTTTTCATACAGCACTTCTGCTACTGTTGAGTCCAACCTGATATATCAGTATAAAACCAGAGCTGCTTTGTGCTGTTTTGACAATAGGAAGCACTACATTTGCTGATGTTACAAAGGATGGGTTTTTTTTCATGCTGGACAGTTGCATGTTTTTGTTTTAGTAAGCCTACTGCGATGCTGTAGTCCATAAGTGAGTTCCTGTGATGCAAAAAGGAATTAAAATATACATTCTAGGCCAGAAGTTCTTTAATGAGTGATGCTGTATATGTGAGTGGCTCATGTTCAGACCTTAAGGTGTTAATAACATGGGTAAGGAGATGAATGCCACTTCATGAATGACTTTTCAACTTGTATGTAGAGCAAAAACCTGCCAGCTGTTCTTCCTTCTCCATGACACTTACTAGAGTGTTAAATGAACAAGGCTCTCATGGCTAAGAGAAGGATATATAGGTGATACAAACCTCCCCCAAAATGGAACTTGCCGTCAGGGAGTGCCTTTCCTTATTGTGCCTGAAGAGGATGAGACTCCTTGCTTAGTAACAGTGACCCTGGGGATGGGGAGTTGCTGGGAACAATCTATAGAGAAGCTTTCTCTCCTTTTACCCTGTGGTCACCACTTTAGGAGAGTTCAGTCTGATGGGGACTTCTTTCTTTACAAGCAGGTCCCATATGCTGCTTTTCACCCTTTGTTTCATTGGAATCTACCCTGTGGAATAAGGGTAAATTACATAGTTGTGCAACAATGCTTCCCACACAGTTTGCCTTATAAATGCTAATGAAATGGTATTCCCCAATCCTCTCTTATCTTCTTCGAGGCAGATACAGAAATACCTGATGCTGGAATGCTCTGTCCCAGATTACAAAGTCTGTCTCCAGCAGAGTAAGGAAGAGAACAGAGATCTCTGGATTTCCAGTTCTGCTTAAGTTAGACCCTCCTTCCTCTTTTTAGTTTTGTTAGGTGACTTGAGTATTTAGTGCAGCATAGCCTTTCCGCAGACCGTTTGGTAAGCCTTTGCCATAGTGAATTTCTGATTTGGCTCTGAAAGTCTGTTTACTGCGTAGCCCATACTATGTGGCTGGGCTACCAGTGTCATTAAATCTAAGGCATAAAGCTCAGTATTTCAGAGATACAACTCCCCTCTTTCCTAACACTATGAAAATATAGCAAGTGAAGGGGAAGGGAGTGACTTAGGGAATGGACAGGAGGAGAAAAAACAGCTTATGGGTTACTAAAATGTTTCTTTACTTTGTCTTCTATTTCAATTAATTTTATAGTGGCTAAAATCTGCTAGATACATCGCAGACAAATTTTCCTACTTTCTGTGCTGTCCTGAAGTGTTTCTCTTCTAAATAAAAATCAATTGAAAGGAGGGAGATGGAGGTGCATTACAGTGAATGTAAACATATGGTAAAACAGTGGTCTGTGTGTGCTAGACAGAAAAAGGGAAGGAATGGATGGGACCCAACTCCTACCAGAAAATAAAGAGATTGTTGTTGAAAGTACTGTATTGCCTTCACATGCTCTGGCACAAAATGACTAGGAGATGATGCTAACCATGACATTGGGATTTGGCTTTGGAAGGTCATCAAGAGTAACCTGACTATGTGATGAAATAGTTGTAGTGCTAGTCCTTGCTTGAAAGAAAAATAGTGTGTGGTTGGGGAATTAAAGAGTATTACGACTCAAATACACAAAATGCTTAGACATACTATTCCTCCTTTAACTGCCATCTGTCCTTAGATTTAGGTGTTCTTCAGGAGGACGGATTGGTGACTCTTAAATATCTTGCTTTATGTATGGTGCCCTCAAATTGAATACAAAACAAAAGCAAGCACTGGGAACTTTAGATTCCCCATTTCTAAATTGACTACCTAAATTCCTAATATATAGTCATATTTTTTCCTGATTTGTTCTCTTTTGTGCACAGGACCCATATATCCCTGATTTCATAGCAGCCTAGGTGAACTGGGAGAACAAGAGTGCCCTTCTTCAACCTCAGGATGACTGGAAACTGCCCAGTCTAATTAGGCAGGAAGTTAAGTGAGACTTTACATAGTAAAGCTGAACTGCAGCAGTAGCTAAAGTCTATTTCAGTTGTGATTTTTTTTCTCTTTTTTTAATTGTATCAGCCCAAAAGAGGCTGATGGCCAGGTGTTCTTTTCTTGACCTCAGGGAAGAATGGGCAACTCACAGTGAAGCACAGAGAGCTACATTCTCCTTCCTGCCCTCTTCCTTGACACCCAAATAGGGAACAGTTTCCCCGAAAAAATACATGGGCAAGAGATTTGGATTCTGTGGGGCTGCAACAGATGAGGCGGGTAATATCTGCAGGGTTAGAAATAATTAAAATGAATTGGGCAGAGAACAAAATGATGCAGATAATTCTGAAATTAACAAACATAGAAAAAATATAGTTACCCAATAACAAATCCAAAGTAATTTCATTGTACAGGCAAGGCTGGTTATGGGGGTAAGAAAACATGCATTTTTACCCTGTTTGAAACCTTTGAAGATTTTTCTTTTAATATATTAGATTCCTTCCCCATATGTGCTGGCAGCAGCTGCTGGCACTTCTAGTGACAACTTTAGAGTCCTTGTTGAGACACCAACAATAAAATCAAGGCTGAGGAGTGTCTGAAGAAATCAGCTGGCGTAGCC